TATATATATATATATATATATATATATATATATATATAAAGGGAAAAAGATTGGATGAGCCCACTAGCTCAAAGGAAACAATGAGCCCAACGGCCCAGATTGAATCTGGGCTGATCTGACGATCACGGATGTCCGATAGTGTTTGAATTTTAATTTTTTCTACAAATCCAAATTACTTAAAATTTTAGGCGTGTGTTCTTCTCATCAAGTAGCACCTAATCAAAATATAAAAAAAAAATAATTCGTGAAAAAAATTGACCAAAATACCCTCGGAACTTTTTGGGGGTATTTTGGTCAATTTATTTCATGTAAAATATTTTTTTGATCTTTTTTGAAGATTCACCTATTTTTTATGTACACACGCTCCAAATTTCAAGTGATTTGGATTCGTAGAAAAAAAATTAAAATTCAATCACTACCAGACATCCGTGATCGTCAGATCGGCCCAGATTCAATCTGGGCTATTGGACTCATTTTTTCCTGTGAGCCAGTGGGCTCACCCTAGCATCTTCCTATATATAATAACAATAAAGAAAACCAAAGAGAATACAAGAGGCTCAATATATAAAGAACTAAAGAGGACCTTAATTAGTGCTCCTCGAGCAATCATGGCAGTAGAAAGTTCAGGGCAGTCGAGCAGGTGCGCATTCCAGTCAGTGTAGGATAATATATCTCCATTTCCCAGTACTTGCAAACCATCCTGAGCCTTCCTTGCACACTGGTATATATAAGCCCAATCAGCAAGCTTGCTATACCGCTGTTGCCTTGATCGCCCATGTATTGTTAATGCATTGGCTCCCCATTTCCCAATATCTGCAATTAGGGAATCAATGCGGTTTCTCCCTTCCAAATAACCCGTACGCACCTAGGAGAAGTAAAACTAAAACAAGTTTTAAAACAAAATCACCATAATAAACAAGGCATATGCACTATCTATCCCTTCAGAGCAGATTTTCTGTGTGTTTATTACAGAAGAGCATATGAGAACAATCATAAAGAAATAAAAATAATCACATGTTCAAAGCATCAAAGCCTACATGAGATAGAGCAATATGCAAGACCGCTGAAAATGCAATTTATAAGTTTCTAGTACATACCCCAACTATGACCTCTTTGATTTGGATTCTTATTAAGTTCAAACATTTTCGCCTAGAGTTCCATATATCAATAAGGACTATGAAGAAAGCATTGGAGTTATCCATGTCAATAGCTGTTGAAAACTAAGGCCATATCAAGTTACAACTCAAAAATATTCTAGGGGACATTAAGCTGAGACCAATATCAAATTTCCAGAGTAAGTGTGATTCTTAGGCACCCAGATGAGGAGATACAACAAAAAATTAGCACATCAAAGATCAAGGTTGTTGCAGTTGTCATTCAAAGGCAAATATCAAAGGGATTATATGTTATAAGCTCACCGCCAGTTCGGTGATATCCTGAATACATTCTCTTCTAGAGGGAGGGATTTTTAGAATGTTCATATGTATCCAATGCCACCCACAGCTTGGCTGGCTGGCTGTCTGGCTGACTTGGCATTACAGTTGAAAGAACTATGTACGTGGAGAAATTTTCAGTGTGGAATTCTCAAAATCTGTGAAGGGCAAATAATTAAATTTATTGTCATAGTGCCGCAGTGGGTGCGCAACGTTTTTCTTCGAAACAACAGCAAGTACATAATGTATTTTATTCGGGGGGGGGGAGGGGCGGGCGGGATGTATAACAAAGGTCCTCAAGTGGAAGCAACACAGCATTAGGAGTATATCAACATAAAAGAAGATAGCAATTGGTAGGAAAAATAGTGGTGATAAGGTAGTTGATACCAATACCACAATCAGGTAAATGACAATTTAGAAGATATGTATCCGAAATTTATCATACACGGTAAATACCTTAACAGTAATGGTTTTGTCGACAGTGCCAGAAGCGGCTTCAATAATATTTTTCATCTTCATGGGCTTAGTGAGAAGAGAAGACCCTGCACCCTTGTTGACAACAATGTCAATTGGGCATCCCATATTAATGTCAATAAAATCAACTGTGCATTCCCGATCAACAAGCTCAATGGTGCGTGCTCCAGTATCTGGATATGCTCCACAAAGTTGTACACCAAAGAGATCTTCAGATGAGTGGCGTCTCAACAAAGCCCATTCTGAGGCTTGTCCCTGTAAAATTCCATGTTCAAATTAGGGAAATGTTAAGCAAAACTTCAGAGACAAAGTTTGGCACATATATGGAGAAAGCACCTTCTAGTAAACAGATATATGGATGAAGTACCACAGCTCAAGCAAACATAGAAAATTATTGATAAGATGAAGTTTAGCATCTCTCAAGATGATTCAACTTGCCGAAAGGACTGCCAAAGACAGGAAAAAGTTCTTTGCTTAGATATCAGGTATCAAGGCTTGGTGGTTGATTCCAACCTCAACTTTATTCAAAATGAGATCTATGAAGGGGATTCCTGCATGTATTCTTCCTTAGATCAATCATACATATTTGGAAAACAGGACAATAAATCACCTGAGTTGATTTTTATCTTTCCTAAAGAAGTAACTTAAACACTATTCAAGTTTTGTACTAGAATTGCACGGTCCCTGTCGAAACAAAACATAAAGGAAAGAAACTAATCACCCTAACTATCAGGAAGGTTACAAGTAACCTGTAAAAGATTGGTACACATAGCCATTTCGCCACATGTGATATCTGCTCCCAAGTTCTTGCAAACCCTTCTGAAAGGAAGATATCCAGCAGTGGTGAGCGGCGCGAGATACAACTTCCCTTTAAAATCAATAAGTTTCTTTTCCCGAGCATTTACTTTCAGATCTGCATCGACCTCTAGCACACGGGAATCCTCACTCCTCAAGACGTTTTCATTTTCAGATTTGGTGATGGTCTGTTCTTCATTTGTTTCTGGTAACATATGATCTGCTAAAGATATGAGTCATTAGGTCAACAGAAAAAAACCATGTAAGACACGGGGGGAAAAACAATCGTAACAGACTGAATAACACCTACATCCAAATAAAGGCATGCATGTGACCAAAGCATTGAGAAGAGTCTAACCATTATGCATTTGTCCAGAGCAGGGAGTGTCATCAATGGGAATTTTTGACTTCTTCAAAGGTTGAGTATCCTCAGTTTTGATGGCATCATCCTCCATTTGTGGGCTTGAGAAGCAGCTAATGTCATTACAAGACGGACGCATTATTGCACAATTATCCTGCTTTTCCTGGTCATTTGATCTATTCGCCATGTCCTCTTGGTCTTCAGCTCCATTTTCATCTGTTTTTCTTACCTTCGCATTTCCCTTTATCTGCAAATTCAGCATCATAACACCCCATCACAGTAATGCGACAACTTCTGATCCCATTATAAACCTCAATGGAAGCCATAGGCAATGGTTTTCACAAAAAACGAACAAAATAAAATGCATGCAAGAAGTACGAAATTTCAATTTCAATGACTAAGATTATATATATATATATATATGGAAAAATCTGGGGGTAGCCCACTTGCTCATATGAACATATGAGTCCAATGGTCCCGATTCAATCTGGACCAATCTGATGATCACAGATGTCCGGTAGTGTTTGAATTTTTTTTTTTTCTACAAACCCAAATCACTTGAAATTTTAGACGTGTGTTTATCAAAAATAGGTGAATCTTCAAAAAATATCAAAAAAGCATTTTACATGAAATAAATTAACCAAAATACCCCTGAAAAGTTTCAAGGGGGTATTTTGGTCCCTTTGTTTTTTTGAGAATAATTTTTTTTTATATTTTTATTAGGTGCACCGTGATGAGAAGAACACATACCTAAAATTTCAAGTGATTTGGATTTATAGAAAGTAAAATAAAATTCAAGCACTATCGGACATCCATGATATTCAGATTGGCCCATATTCAATCTGGATCGTTGGGTTTATATGTTCATATAAGCTAGTGAGCCAATCCCAGCTTTTTCCTTATATATATATATATATATATATTTATATATCATTATCATCATCATCATCATCATCCGAGCCTTATCCCAACTATTTGGGGTCGGCTACATAAATTCTATTATGTCATTCTGCTCTATCAAGAGCCATACATACAATAAGAATTTTTCTACAAGCAAATAAGTGTTTCTGGAAAATGTTTCAGATACAATCAGTCTTACAAACTTAATGGAACAAATACAAAATTCAAATATGCAGATATCAATATGACTATCGAATGTAAACTGCAGTAGCGGACCATAGCCCCCTTTACGGCACATCATAGAAAAGAAGTAAAAATAAGGAAAATAAACATATAGGCAGAAGAACATGGAAGGAGAATGGCTATCACTTTAAATGCAAGAGCTTACCATAAACCCAAGATTTTTGAGCTGAGCATCCGCTCTAGTGAAATTCTCTTTATTCTTCTTCCAAAGGAGCTTTTGCAATTCTTTACTCAGTCCATTCATTTCAGAGAGTTTGTTTCGATCTGCCTTTTTTTTAGCTGAAATGCCATGTTTATGTGTACCAGAAAACCTACATGCCATCCCATAAGGGCATGGCTCCTCAACACACATAAACGGGCATGTTCCTGGAAGGTCTTCTGGCTTCTGCAAGTTAAGAAAGTTGCAGTAATTTGAGATGATGATACCGAAATAAACATTATACAAGAGGTTAAGGGGAACACCAATTAGGTGGAACCCATAACAAATTAAGTAACCAAGGAGGTTCACTTTTAATCACACCTGAGCTAGAAATGCATCCAAGTCGTGGCTGAAACGGCAATTGCCACCATAGGAGCATGCTTTAATATTTCCAACCCTTGCAACTTCAGGACAAACATGCAGTACTGATTTCTGTTTCTGAAAGGTATATAATTATTCAAACAGTTAGATCTCAGAGTAAAACGATCAGTATATCGAGAATGTCAATCCAAGCTTCAGTGTAATCTGCATAGAGTGTAAACAGCCTGCCAGCATGCCCAGCAAATTTTTTATGATTAAGGAAAAATAGTTCCGATGTACAATGCCGAAAACAAGACAGAAAATAGACATCCAAGGGAAAATTACTCCCAAGCGTACAAATTGCAGAAAACAAAACGTAACGTATACACCTAAAAAGAATGCCAAACTTGACAATTGGTATCTGTTCTTCAATTTTGATCAATTTCTCTGATCAGAGCAAAACTAACTGTTTATCCCTCTTCATTCAGGAGCCAAAAATGAATACATCAAATCATATAGAAATTTTTTTTTTCTTGGGAAAATCATATAGAATATTGAATCTGTACAATAACCAATCTGGCGCCAAAGATTGGAATTATCCAAGAATATCAAACCCAAGGCTGTAGCCGAATCACTGGACTGTTGGGCAATTCATGATCTAGACAGGTCTGCATCTTATGAATGAGCATGTTGAATTTGGGCAAAACATGAATCATTAAAATTTCTAATTCAACTAAATGTTGGGTAAAAGGATGATGGATGCACAGATATGAAGGAAAAGGTTCCTCCACCATTAAGACGTAAATGTTGGAATCAAGAAGAACTGATCGCCATTTGTTTTCTGTACACCCACTAACACAGAGAATCTGGAGTACTAAACATATGCTGTAAATATACGCGCGGATGGCAATTCTGCTACACTTTTGGTAGTTTATAAAGGGACAATAAGTTTAAGCAAAAGGAGACAACTTGGTATGGATGTACTAAATGATTCTTAATTATTCTGAGCCATTCCCCATAATCACTGAGAATGAGAAAACACCACTAATTGATTTCCTTCTCTCGTTTTTTTTAAGTCTGAATTAACACTCGCTATAAAAAACTTGATTTTATTTCTTTTCTGTTTTTGAATAAGCTTGCTTTATTTTCATTATATAAAAAAATGATTTTTTTATAGCAATGCTCCATAGTCTATCAATGCTGCAGTCAAAACATGAAAGCCATAAGATCATGCGTCAGTTTAAATATTTGAATAGATAATATCAAATTAACAATAAACGTAGGTGCAATCATGTGCAGATGAATGGAAAAAAGATAAAACGAGAGGATGTCAAAGAATCAATTCATAACCTCCCGTCTCTCTCGCTTGAGCTGCCTCTTTGACTTCTTCTCTGTAAGCAACAAGCCAGAGTTGCAGAGCTTTTCGGAAGCTTTCACGTTGGAACATGGCCTTGAAAGAGGAGCAGGAAGAATGTACTCCTTCTTCACAGGAGCCACAGATTTAGCAACCAATTCCTCCGGACTTAGAAGCTCGTTGGGTTTACTCGAGACCTGAGCTTCTGCTTCGACATTACTGGAGATAGCTTCTTCCAAAGCATCTATTGCTCCTCCATCTCCTCCTGAAAATGGAACAGATTCTTTCAAAGCCTCTATTGCTCCTCCATCTCCTCCTGATAATGGAACAGCGCCATCCATAACGGGATATTCTCTGTAATTTAAGCCAATGGAGATTTTTCTAGGGTTTCCGTTTTCTCCATGAGTTACAGCAGGAGCTTTTCCTAGGGTTTTGGGTTTTGTTCGCTGAATGCAGGTTAATTTCAGGCAGTGAGCACGGGAAAAAAAGTTTAATGTAATCCACGGAACTACGGGAAAATCATAATCCATGGTAGGTAGGCCCGGCTATGCAAGTCGTTCTAATTTCTAAGCAAGGTTAAAAAAAGAAAAATTTAGGAAAAATGTCCCTTTGAATTGTCGTTATTACAGAAGTTCTCCTGTGAATTTGAATAATTTATTTATTTTAGTTTTAATTCTTTTTTCCATACTGCCCCTATTTTAGACTTCTAAAATCTCAAGTTCGCTCGAATCTCGAACTTGGGATTGGGATTTTTGTATAAAGGTAAGCTTTCTATACAGCTCCTATTGTGTAAAATTTATATATTTTTTCCTATCCAACCAGTCATTTTGAATGAACTGGCTACGATGGTTTCAATGACAATGTCATGCCTCTACACTATTTTATTTATAAATTTTTTCTACAAAATATTTTGACACCGAAATTTGGACATCCACTCATCACTGGTAAAAAATATCTAAAAAATATTTCTAATAAAATAAAATGATCAAAATGCGCCTGAAAGTTTCAGTAATATTTTTATAATTGTATTCTATCCAAAATATTTTTTTTGGGTGCGCCTCATTAAGATAATGGCACGGATCAAATTTCATATTTATATATTTTATAGAAAAAATACTAAAACTAAAATGCTCTGAGGCGCCGGATCTAGATCAAATGGTTAGTGCCTCACTTGATCTATATTGAACGGCTTGATGGGAGGAAGAATATATCTTCCATATAGTAAGAGAAGTATAGAAGGGCAAGCTTTCTATGCTTCCCCTACAACATAAAATTTATACGCTTTCCTTTATCCAACCGACCATTTTGAATGGAGGGCTAAGATTTTCCGAATCACAAAGTCATTTCTTTACATTATTTTATTTTTAAGTTTTTTTTACAAACTATTTTAACATCAAATTTTGTACGTCCAATCCTCTATTAAACTCGCACTAGCGAAAAATATAAAAAAATATTTTCAATAATATAAAATGATCAAAATACCCTTGAAAGTTTCAAGCGGTATTTTCGTCATTATATTTTATCGAAAATTTATTTTTAATATTTTTTATAAGTGCGTGCCACTGAGAAGACACATACCAAATTTCATACTCATACAATTTTTATAAAAAAACTAAAAATAAAATACTTTAAGACGGTGGATCTAAGATCAAACAGTGAGTGGCTCTCTTGATCAAAATTGAACGGCTGGATGCTAAGGGAAACATATATCTTCTATGCTGTAGGGGAAGTATAGAAACATTTTCCAGTAAATAAACCTTTCTTTTTTTTACAATATGAAGTTTAGAGAACTTTAGATTTTCAAAATTGGAAATATTTTTAAACCTTCGAACCACTTAAGAAGAGATCCAAGTATGTTTATTGCAAATGTTAAACTTCACCACTTCACGATCTAAAGTAGAGGCAATGTCATTGTTTTTTCAAAAAAAAGAAAAAAGAAAGGGTACGAGAATGTAAAAAAAATTGAGATTTCTTAAATATTGGAACTTTAGAAGAATATGCACGTAAATTACTTATAACAAAACGACCCCTGCATGAGAAAACAACAGCTGATACATCAATAATCAATCCAAACAACCACAATTTGTAGGGCCTGTTTGATTTGGCCACTAATGGTTTAAATTCTAGTCTTTTAACACAGTGGGGCAGAAACCATCTTGCATTGTATTTAACTATGACCATTTTTTAGCTCTAATTGTGTAAATAATGCTGCATATAAGTTCTTAAATCTATTTAACTTCATCAGAAGAACTATTTTGACTATGTTTATATTTTAATAAAAATGTGTAATGTGTAATGTGAGAAGTATTAACACATAAATTTAAACTCAAGTTAATATATGTTGGGTTTGGTGATAGTTAAATCACCATACCCATAATTTCTTCTAAAGATTAAGGTATTATGAGAAATAGAAAATTGATTTTCTTGAGAAGCAAGAAAGTGATATATTTATAAGAGAGTGAAAAAGGATATGATACCTATCTTTTAAGGGTCACCCCTTTGGGGGTCATGGGAATGGATCTCCAATATGGAGATGTATCTTCAAGAGAGAGAGACATGGCTTCTGAGAGAAAGGATGTATTCCCATGAGTTTTAAGTAGTTAACTTCCACTTCTAGAGAGAGAAAATCTCTATGTTGCTCTCGAAGTTATCTTTTCAATAGCGGTATTGCGGTGGGAAAGAGAATGTTGATTGATGGTGTTGCTCAGTTGGGAGAACGGGTTTAGAAGGGAAGATCGGTGATAGTCTTTTACCGATGTTTAGAGATAGGTATTATCTCTTGTAACCAGCGTTTTAAAAAACATCGAGTCGAACCGGACTCGCCCCGGTTCGACTCGGAATTCGCGAAAAGGAACCGGATCGGTTGAAAAATCGGAAATCGTCCGGTTCTAGAGAGAACCGGACGATTCCGCACAGTGACTCGCCGATTCACTGTACGGAATCGGAGAGTCCAAACAGTGAATCGGTGAGTCCGTTTTTTTTAAGGTTTTTTTTTTTTTTTTTTTTTTTTTTTTTT